AAAATGAAATGTAATGAAATATTTCAGTGAATAACTTCTGAAAATAAATGTTGATCACTAGGTTTTTCAGAAATAGTTTTGTTGTGAGGATTCAAAATCCATTAGTTTTGATACATCGGACCCAAGGAATCTTTCTTCTTTCATTGATTTGAATTATAGTATTCTAGAGTATGTAGGTTTAGAGACTTCTTTTACTTCCTTGTTCTTCTCACTAAAGGAGGACAAACTAAGGTTGCATCTGAAAACATCTGAAGCCCGTAGCTCGATAAAAATATGGAACTACTTTATGTGCGGTCTAATTTGTGTACTCACTTCTGTACCAGGAAAAATGACCACACTTACACATCACATCCAGCCAGAAGTCCACAAGGAGGACAACTGTAATCAAAACAACACAGTATGCACATACAATTTTGGTAACAGGATGCCAAATTAGGTGCAAAATTACCTGCACACTTTTAAAAAAGGCCCTGGATGATTTGAAATACCAGGAAAATGTAGGCGAGTGACTCCTTTTTCCTGGAGAATTGATGCCTGAAGTGATTTGCAAGCTGGTATGAATAGACTCCTCAAAATATAACTGTTGCATGTAATTTGTGTGGGCAGTAATGTTCTATTTCAATAATCTTATAAATAATATTATTTCTTAAATTTTGCATTATTGGTCACGGTTGAGCCTCTTTAAAAGCATGACTTCATTGATTGTAGGTGGATATTGTGATATTATTAAGATTGCAAGGCTGATTTTTTTTATTTAATTGAATTATTTTCTACTAAACTATACTAACACAGAGCTTCAACATTACTACTAACCCACACACAGATATTGAAAGCAATGGGGATTTGCCACTGATTTGATAAACACAAGCAGTGTTATGCCAGTTTAACAGTTATCTGCCTCTGAAACCCTTACTCATGTTGAGCAGCACTCACTTAGGTGAGTAGACTAAAGTCGATTCTCTCAAGCAGGTGTATTTGTATGAGGAGGGGATTATCTTTAATGGGACCAATGAAGGACAAATCCTTTTCAGCTTGGTTAAGGGCTGAAGAAGCAGCCCCTCACTGTCAAATGAGAGTTGAAAGATTCTGATAATTATACTGAACCCAACTAAGAAATACCTGTTGATGCAGGAACTGGCCAGATACATGAAAGAAAATAAAAGCTCCACTTTAGTAGCTGTCACACTATTGTACAAACTGGGTAAAAGTTTTTCACATCTGAAGAAAGGCATCACATTAGGTTGGAGTGCTAATGTAAGACCAAGAGACCCTCGTTACCAGCAGGTGGGATCGAACCTGGGACCTCTAGAGCTAAGTGCATGAGCTAAAAGCCACATGACCCTTAGCTAAGGCTGTAGAACAGACTCATAAATCTCTAAGTGGTCTCAGTGCCACTAGAGGGGACAGAGAACCACACCCAGGTGGTGTGTGGGTTACATACTTTCCCTAGCTGAGGAAGTGCGTCCTGAGCTTCGGAGTCTTTCCAGTTGAAATCCCGGACGAGCCCCTACTTGCAACACCGACAGACCCCAGTCATCGGTGGGCGGGATTGAACCTGGACCTCTAGAGCATGAACCTCCACTGCATGAGCTAAAAGCCACACAGCCCTTAGCTAAGGTTGTAGAGCAAACTCAATCATCTCCAAGTGGTCTTGGTGCTACTAGAGAGAACAATCACCAAGGAGGTCTGTGGGTTACACTAGCTTATCAGAACTTTGCATCTGCATCCAAATCATGCCTTTATTTACATTATTATTAATTATTAAATCACAATAGTTTGGGAAATCCCATTATTTTACATTTTGTGCAACATGAATTATGCTCTTTTCACTCTCTGGAGTCATGGTCAATCTGTCTGGTGTGTGGGCAAAGTCATGCAAACCCCTCTCTGCGAGGAACCTGGAGCCAGCTGATGCAGCCTCAAAATTAGAAGTGACAGCCCAAGTGAGGGCTGAACCAAGCTAGACGTGTGATGCGCTGATTTACTCTCTGTGGCAGCCTCCCCTCCATGTGCCCAGAAAGGTGCATACAGATGCTACTATGGCCATAGGAGTGTATCTGGCCTTAGGTGCACATAACAGTCACAGATAAATAAAAAAGACAGGTACAGCATTTCAGTCTTGTCACCAATATACACACCCAAATGACTGATTTCAGTCTGGCAGGGAAGGAACAGGGAAGATCTTTTCCTAACCCACAATTTGCTTGTCAGGAGTTAATAAAACACAACCCTAGCCTGTGTCTGATGGGTTCCATGCAAGGTCTGTGCTCTGTTTCTCTGCCCTTTCCTCACTGGTTCTGCCTCAGCCATTACTTAACATGACAATTCCCAGCGACATGCATGTGCCTGTTGACAGGGGTGGATTTACCACAAAACATACCATGCCCTGGCATTCTCCCAACCCCCCCAATGATGGCGGGGGGGGAGCATGGCCAGGGAATGGGGCTGGCCGCAGGAGCCGGTGCAGCGCCCGCAGGCAGGGGGGCCGGCCGGGGAAGGTGAGCAGAGATGAGCGCGTGGAGGCAGTAGGGCGCTCAGGTGGCCGCCGATGGAACTGTGCCCACCCCCCACCCCCCCACACACACCTTCAGGTGGGTGTTCAGTGCACGCGGGTCTCTGCCTGCTTCTCCGGGCCAGCCAGCATGGGGCCACATCAAATTCTGAAAAACCATCTGCAAAAACTGAAGCAAAATCCTTTGCAGAAAAGTTTGAAAAGTACGATATTGCTGTTTTCACTCTTTTGTGGAACTGTTTACTTCAAAGAATTAATGACATCAGTAAATCGCTGCAAAAGGTTGATACAAATTTATTGAATGCTTCACAATTGTTAGCCTCAGTTACAAGTTTTGTCATAGAAGTTCGAAATGACTATAGCTCGATGGAAGCAGAGGCACTAACGTTAACAGAAAATATAGGCTCCTCTGATATATCTGAGGAGAAACGTAAAAAACCCAGGAAGTTATTTTTTGATGATCTTAGAGACAATGAAATCCATTTAAAAGGGAAAGAGAAGATAATCGTTGAGACAGTCAATGTTATTTGTGACACAATAATAGTGCAATTGCAGAGTAGAAGTGAATCTCTAAAGAAAACTGTTGACTTATTTTGCGTGTTTTTTAACAGAAGTATGGACAAAAATGCTAAAAGCCACTACAGTAAGAAATTAAGTGAATTCTACCGGGAGGACATAGACATAAATCTTCCTGAAGATGAACTGAAACATTTCGTTAATTTTATGATGAGGTCTATGCTTCAAGATCACCAGTTGATTTGTGCAGACTTGCACGTGATGGTTTGCAGGCAATCTTTCCAAATGTAGAATCCATTCTGAAAATATTTAAAACAATAACTATCACAAATGCTTCTGGTGAACGTTCTTTTTCTGTATTAAACTGAGTTCAAAATTATTTGCGAAATACGATGAGTCGGGAACATTTGACAAGTTCAGCAATATTGACAACTGAAAGTGCCTCTTTACAAAATATTACTTATGATGACTTAATTGATGATTTTGTAAAGAAAAAGTGTGGAAAAAAAGCTATCTGAATAAATATTTTTTTTCAAATTGAGTAAGTTTCTTCAGAGGAAGTTAACTTTTATTTTTCCATTCATGCATCTTCTATACTTTTTATATTTACACATTTTTCACGTTAGGATAATGCAAATTTAATCTAGACCAGAAGTTCTCAAACTATGGTCCGAGAACTCCATTCAGGTGGACTGAGGAAAGGTTATGATGTTTTTTTTTTATAAAGCGGTCTTCTCCAAAGCACTTTACAATAGTAAATAATGGTACAAACAATATTTGGAAAGATCATTAAGTGGTTCGCTGAGACCCTCAACACTTTTCAAGTGGTCTGTGAAAATAAAGTTAGGAAGAAAATGAAAATAAAGTAAGGTACCTTGATTGTTTTTGTTGTCTATTACTTATAATAGAGAAGGAGGAGGAAGAAAAAAAGAATGAAAAACAGAGGGGCAGAGGAGATAAGAGAGAATGTTCTTTTTCTTGGCTGGGTTGTGTTGCGGGGGCCCCAAAAATAAAGCTGAGCACAGGACCCCACTACCTCTAAATCCACCACTGCCTGTTCACATAATGCTGGGAAAACAACACTGGAATATGATTTAGGCCTAGTTTCAAACCTGGGGTGAGACCATTTGGTACAAAGCACATGTTGCATTGGTGCAGCTCATCTAAACTAGGAATTTTCGCCAGTAGTAATTTATGTAGTGGCACACTAGTGCAAAACACCCTATAGTTGTAGAAAAGGGCTAAGGAGGACAAAAAAAGGAGCCAACTATGGAATAATTCTCTACCGTCAAAATAGTATGAAAGCCAGAGAAGAAGAAAATGGCTTTACTTCTGCAGATATCTGCTCTTTCCATTGGAATGCAGGTATGTTTCTAAAGCAGTGGAGACAGGAATCCAGTACGTGCCCTCTGAAATAATAGGTAACTCTTTAAATTGGAATACAAACTTACATGTAGTAATGGACTCCTGTGTGGTAGGTGAAGAAGCTGGTAAACAAAGAAAGAAAACAAAAGGCAAAATTAAATATTTTACAAAAGAGACATTTCAATAAACATTGAGCTACTAGAAAAAATAAAGTAAAATTACATCTCAGATATTCTATTACAATGAGCTAAATCATTTGCTGCTGTGGGGAGAACAATGTGATGAGGGCCTAGAAGAAGAAAAGAACCAAAAGGTTCTTCTTTGTTTCTTGCAGTTTAATTCCCCCTTGCAAAAGAACCAACGGTTCAACTCCAAACCCTTCAGAGCACACAGGATTTTAGGGAAGCAGAGATTACTGGAGCTCACAGGCCTCTGTATGGACTATTGGGCAACATGGTACCCAGGGCACATTGCAGTCACGTTGCAATGTACTTCCTTCCCTGTAGTTGCCCCTGGAATCGCCTATAAGGATGAGTTTCCCACTTGGAGGTTTGGATGTTATTCCTCTAGAATACATTTCAGGTAAAAATAATACAAATGCGAGTACCTGAGCAGATGACACTGGCATCCTCATGGTGAGCACAGTTATGTGTGCCCCAACCCTGGTGCGAGCACTGCCACAGAGAGGATTCGTTCCCTCTGCACTGCACGTCATCCAAGAGAACACTTCCAGAGCCTTCACCAAACCGGGCATTCCTGGGGGCCTCAATGGCCTGGCCACACCCAAGCTGTCTGCACACAACCTCTGCATCAGACATGTCCCAGTCATCATCACAGACTGTTCCCCATCTTCCATTGTAACGGACTTCAACGCGACCGGAACACCCGTTCTGTCCATTCACCAGTCTCACTAATGGTCCTTGGAAAAACAGAGGGAAATTAATTTTCACCCAGCTCTTGAAATTTGGGGTTCTTTTCTAGTTATGAAGTTGGCTCCTGTGGTTTTAGGAAAGTTACAAAGCGGATATTTTCCTTTTCCTAAAATTGTATATTATTTGCACATAAGTATTATAGTTTTGGCAACAACATTTACCTCTGCGGGTTTCTGCCATTTCACGGCAATTCGGGTGTGTATGCTGGAGAGAGGAGCCCAGTAACTGCACTGAGAAATTATGGGCGCCTCTTTAACTCAGCAGGGAGAACATAAGAAGAAGACCATTATTGAAAGGACAGCTGAGAAAAGACTTACCACTTGGAGGGGGCCCGTTTGTTGGAGGTGGTGGAGCTGGCAATGCAAAAAGATAAGGACAGTCTTAAAAATGATTCAAGATGATTAAAAGCCATCTTTATTAGGTGGACATTTGAATACTTTTTATGACGTACAATTGCAAGAATGAAAGACAAGAGACATTCACAAACTAGAAGATAATCACCGAAGGAGCGTGAATGAAGAACAAGATATATTCAAAACTACAAACCCAAATGGAGAACGTGTGAGTGCTCATGTAGCGGATAGATTCATACCCTCAGTGGATTGGGCACAAAGGGAGACCTGTAACACACTCTCAGCAGTGGGTTACCTACTTCTTCTGGTCAAAAAAGCTGATCCCAAGCATCGTCGGGCACAGCAATTGAAATTCAGGACAAGCCTGGTCTCACATGACAGCGTCCACCTCCTCAATACACCAGAGGTTGAAGCACAACCTCCAGAGCTAAAAGTACGAGGTGCTGAAGGTTGATTTTGAGACTCAAGAGGCTCTTGCAGGGGTTGTAACACACTCATATCCTCTGTGGATCAGCAGAGAGGAGGACACTTAACGAGACAGTGACCCAAGTGTTATGTTCATGCCAAAATTAAGTAAGTCTGGGCCAGGCAATTGGGGAAAGGAATTTGGATATATGTGAGATGAGCTTGTACCATGTGTCTTATTGCTCATTGCTCTGGGAAAACCCATTAGATCAGTTTCCGGCTTGGAGGAAACCTTTCCATGCTTCTCTTTACACCATAGAGTTCAAGTTCTTGATGGGGGACTAGGATTTCTGCAGTCCCACTTGAGGAAAGTAAAGGAGAAATCCCAAAGACTGTTGAAGTCATGCGATGTTAACGGAGTACACACCATCCTCCCAGGTCTTTGTATGGATCACTGGGCGAACTGAGCTCCATCTGCCTACTTGGCAACATGACTTCAGTGAAGCCACACAACACACACACACACACACACTCCTGCCCTCAGATGGCTCAGGACCAATTTCTGATGGTGAGTTTCCCACTTGGAGATTTGGATGTTATTCCTCTAAAATACATTTCAGGTAAAAATATTACAAATGCGAGTACCTGAGCAGATGACACTGGCATCCTCATGGTGAGCACAGTTATGTGTGCCCCAACCCTGGTGCGAGCACTGCCACAGAGAGGATTCGTTCCCTCTGCACTGCACGTCATCCAAGAGAACACTTCCAGAGCCTTCACCAAACCGGGCATTCCTGGGGGCCTCAATGGCCTGGCCACACCCAAGCTGTCTGCACACAACCTCTGCATCATTTATGTCCCAGGCATCATCACAGACTGTTCCCCATCTTCCATTGTAACGGACTTCAACGCGACCGGAACACCCGTTCTGTCCATTCACCAGTCTCACTAATGGTCCTTGGAAAAACAGAGGGAAATTAATTTTCACCCAGCTCTTGAAATTTGGGGTTCTTTTCTAGTTATGAAGTTGGCTCCTGTGGTTTTAGGAAAGTTACAAAGCGGATATTTTCCTTTTCCTAAAATTGTATATTATTTGCACATAAGTATTATAGTTTTGGCAACAACATTTACCTCTGCGGGTTTCTGCCATTTCACGGCAATTCGGGTGTGTATGCTGGAGAGAGGAGCCCAGTAACTGCACTGAGAAATTATGGGCGCCTCTTTAACTCAGCAGGGAGAACATAAGAAGAAGACCATTATTGAAAGGACAGCTGAGAAAAGACTTACCACTTGGAGGGGGCCCGTTTGTTGGAGGTGGTGGAGCTGGCAATGCAAAAAGATAAGGACAGTCTTAAAAATGATTCAAGATGATTAAAAGCCATCTTTATTAGGTGGACATTTGAATACTTTTTATGACGTACAATTGCAAGAATGAAAGACAAGAGACATTCACAAACTAGAAGATAATCACCGAAGGAGCGTGAATGAAGAACAAGATATATTCAAAACTACAAACCCAAATGGAGAACGTGTGAGTGCTCATGTAGCGGATAGATTCATACCCTCAGTGGATTGGGCACAAAGGGAGACCTGTAACACACTCTCAGCAGTGGGTTACCTACTTCTTCTGGTCAAAAAAGCTGATCCCAAGCATCGTCGGGCACAGCAATTGAAATTCAGGACAAGCCTGGTCTCACATGACAGCGTCCACCTCCTCAATACACCAGAGGTTGAAGCACAACCTCCAGAGCTAAAAGTACGAGGTGCTGAAGGTTGATTTTGAGACTCAAGAGGCTCTTGCAGGGGTTGTAACACACTCATATCCTCTGTGGATCAGCAGAGAGGAGGACACTTAACGAGACAGTGACCCAAGTGTTATGTTCATGCCAAAATTAAGTAAGTCTGGGCCAGGCAATTGGGGAAAGGAATTTGGATATATGTGAGATGAGCTTGTACCATGTGTCTTATTGCTCATTGCTCTGGGAAAACCCATTAGATCAGTTTCCGGCTTGGAGGAAACCTTTCCATGCTTCTCTTTACACCATAGAGTTCAAGTTCTTGATGGGGGACTAGGATTTCTGCAGTCCCACTTGAGGAAAGTAAAGGAGAAATCCCAAAGACTGTTGAAGTCATGCGATGTTAACGGAGTACACACCATCCTCCCAGGTCTTTGTATGGATCACTGGGCAACTGAGCTCCATCTGCCTACTTGGCAACATGACTTCAGTGAAGCCACACACACACACACACACACACACACTCTTGCCCTCAGATGGCTCAGGACCAATTTCTGATGGTGAGTTTCCCACTTGGAGGTTTGGATGTTATTCCTCTAAAATACATTTCAGGTAAAAATAATACAAATGCGAGTACCTGAGCAGATGACACTGGCATCCTCATGGTGAGCACAGTTATGTGTGCCCCAACCCTGGTGCGAGCACTGCCACAGAGAGGATTCGTTCCCTCTGCACTGCACGTCATCCAAGAGAACACTTCCAGAGCCTTCACCAAACCGGGCATTCCTGGGGGCCTCAATGGCCTGGCCACACCCAAGCTGTCTGCACACAACCTCTGCATCATTTATGTCCCAGTCATCATCACAGACTGTTCCCCATCTTCCATTGTAACGGACTTCAACGCGACCGGAACACCCGTTCTGTCCATTCACCAGTCTCACTAATGGTCCTTGGAAAAACAGAGGGAAATTAATTTTCACCCAGCTCTTGAAATTTGGGGTTCTTTTCTAGTTATGAAGTTGGCTCCTGTGGTTTTAGGAAAGTTACAAAGCGGATATTTTCCTTTTCCTAAAATTGTATATTATTTGCACATAAGTATTATAGTTTTGGCAACAACATTTACCTCTGCGGGTTATGCCATTTCACGGCAATTCGGGTGTGTATGCTGGAGAGAGGAGCCCAGTAACTGCACTGAGAAATTATGGGCGCCTCTTTAACTCAGCAGGGAGAACATAAGAAGAAGACCATTATTGAAAGGACAGCTGAGAAAAGACTTACCACTTGGAGGGGGCCCGTTTGTTGGAGGTGGTGGAGCTGGCAATGCAAAAAGATAAGGACAGTCTTAAAAATGATTCAAGATGATTAAAAGCCATCTTTATTAGGTGGACATTTGAATACTTTTTATGACGTACAATTGCAAGAATGAAAGACAAGAGACATTCACAAACTAGAAGATAATCACCGAAGGAGCGTGAATGAAGAACAAGATATATTCAAAACTACAAACCCAAATGGAGAACGTGTGAGTGCTCATGTAGCGGATAGATTCATACCCTCAGTGGATTGGGCACAAAGGGAGACCTGTAACACACTCTCAGCAGTGGGTTACCTACTTCTTCTGGTCAAAAAAGCTGATCCCAAGCATCGTCGGGCACAGCAATTGAAATTCAGGACAAGCCTGGTCTCACATGACAGCGTCCACCTCCTCAATACACCAGAGGTTGAAGCACAACCTCCAGAGCTAAAAGTACGAGGTGCTGAAGGTTGATTTTGAGACTCAAGAGGCTCTTGCAGGGGTTGTAACACACTCATATCCTCTGTGGATCAGCAGAGAGGAGGACACTTAACGAGACAGTGACCCAAGTGTTATGTTCATGCCAAAATTAAGTAAGTCTGGGCCAGGCAATTGGGGAAAGGAATTTGGATATATGTGAGATGAGCTTGTACCATGTGTCTTATTGCTCATTGCTCTGGGAAAACCCATTAGATCAGTTTCCGGCTTGGAGGAAACCGTTCCATGCTTCTCTTTACACCATAGAGTTCAAGTTCTTGATGGGGGACTAGGATTTCTGCAGTCCCACTTGAGGAAAGTAAAGGAGAAATCCCAAAGACTGTTGAAGTCATGCGATGTTAACGGAGTACACACCATCCTCCCAGGTCTTTGTATGGATCACTGGGCGAACTGAGCTCCATCTGCCTACTTGGCAACATGACTTCAGTGAAGCCACACACACACACACACACACACACTCCTGCCCTCAGATGGCTCAGGACCAATTTCTGATGGTGAGTTTCCCACTTGGAGATTTGGATGTTATTCCTCTAAAATACATTTCAGGTAAAAATATTACAAATGCGAGTACCTGAGCAGATGACACTGGCATCCTCATGGTGAGCACAGTTATGTGTGCCCCAACCCTGGTGCGAGCACTGCCACAGAGAGGATTCGTTCCCTCTGCACTGCACGTCATCCAAGAGAACACTTCCAGAGCCTTCACCAAACCGGGCATTCCTGGGGGCCTCAATGGCCTGGCCACACCCAAGCTGTCTGCACACAACCTCTGCATCATTTATGTCCCAGGCATCATCACAGACTGTTCCCCATCTTCCATTGTAACGGACTTCAACGCGACCGGAACACCCGTTCTGTCCATTCACCAGTCTCACTAATGGTCCTTGGAAAAACAGAGGGAAATTAATTTTCACCCAGCTCTTGAAATTTGGGGTTCTTTTCTAGTTATGAAGTTGGCTCCTGTGGTTTTAGGAAAGTTACAAAGCGGATATTTTCCTTTTCCTAAAATTGTATATTATTTGCACATAAGTATTATAGTTTTGGCAAGAACATTTACCTCTGCGGGTTATGCCATTTCACGGCAATTCGGGTGTGTATGCTGGAGAGAGGAGCCCAGTAACTGCACTGAGAAATTATGGGCGCCTCTTTAACTCAGCAGGGAGAACATAAGAAGAAGACCATTATTGAAAGGACAGCTGAGAAAAGACTTACCACTTGGAGGGGGCCCGTTTGTTGGAGGTGGTGGAGCTGGCAATGCAAAAAGATAAGGACAGTCTTAAAAATGATTCAAGATGATTAAAAGCCATCTTTATTAGGTGGACATTTGAATACTTTTTATGACGTACAATTGCAAGAATGAAAGACAAGAGACATTCACAAACTAGAAGATAATCACCGAAGGAGCGTGAATGAAGAACAAGATATATTCAAAACTACAAACCCAAATGGAGAACGTGTGAGTGCTCATGTAGCGGATAGATTCATACCCTCAGTGGATTGGGCACAAAGGGAGACCTGTAACACACTCTCAGCAGTGGGTTACCTACTTCTTCTGGTCAAAAAAGCTGATCCCAAGCATCGTCGGGCACAGCAATTGAAATTCAGGACAAGCCTGGTCTCACATGACAGCGTCCACCTCCTCAATACACCAGAGGTTGAAGCACAACCTCCAGAGCTAAAAGTACGAGGTGCTGAAGGTTGATTTTGAGACTCAAGAGGCTCTTGCAGGGGTTGTAACACACTCATATCCTCTGTGGATCAGCAGAGAGGAGGACACTTAACGAGACAGTGACCCAAGTGTTATGTTCATGCCAAAATTAAGTAAGTCTGGGCCAGGCAATTGGGGAAAGGAATTTGGATATATGTGAGATGAGCTTGTACCATGTGTCTTATTGCTCATTGCTCTGGGAAAACCCATTAGATCAGTTTCCGGCTTGGAGGAAACCGTTCCATGCTTCTCTTTACACCATAGAGTTCAAGTTCTTGATGGGGGACTAGGATTTCTGCAGTCCCACTTGAGGAAAGTAAAGGAGAAATCCCAAAGACTGTTGAAGTCATGCGATGTTAACGGAGTACACACCATCCTCCCAGGTCTTTGTATGGATCACTGGGCGAACTGAGCTCCATCTGCCTACTTGGCAACATGACTTCAGTGAAGCCACACACACACACACACACACACACACACACTCTTGCCCTCAGATGGCTCAGGACCAATTTCTGATGGTGAGTTTCCCACTTGGAGGTTTGGATGTTATTCCTCTAAAATACATTTCAGGTAAAAATAATACAAATGCGAGTACCTGAGCAGATGACACTGGCATCCTCATGGTGAGCACAGTTATGTGTGCCCCAACCCTGGTGCGAGCACTGCCACAGAGAGGATTCGTTCCCTCTGCACTGCACGTCATCCAAGAGAACACTTCCAGAGCCTTCACCAAACCGGGCATTCCTGGGGGCCTCAATGGCCTGGCCACACCCAAGCTGTCTGCACACAACCTCTGCATCAGACATGTCCCAGTCATCATCACAGACTGTTCCCCATCTTCCATTGTAACGGACTTCAACGCGACCGGAACACCCGTTCTGTCCATTCACCAGTCTCACTAATGGTCCTTGGAAAAACAGAGGGAAATTAATTTTCACCCAGCTCTTGAAATTTGGGGTTCTTTTCTAGTTATGAAGTTGGCTCCTGTGGTTTTAGGAAAGTTACAAAGCGGATATTTTCCTTTTCCTAAAATTGTATATTATTTGCACATAAGTATTATAGTTTTGGCAAGAACATTTACCTCTGCGGGTTTCTGCCATTTCACGGCAATTCGGGTGTGTATGCTGGAGAGAGGAGCCCAGTAACTGCACTGAGAAATTATGGGCGCCTCTTTAACTCAGCAGGGAGAACATAAGAAGAAGACCATTATTGAAAGGACAGCTGAGAAAAGACTTACCACTTGGAGGGGGCCCGTTTGTTGGAGGTGGTGGAGCTGGCAATGCAAAAAGATAAGGACAGTCTTAAAAATGATTCAAGATGATTAAAAGCCATCTTTATTAGGTGGACATTTGAATACTTTTTATGACGTACAATTGCAAGAATGAAAGACAAGAGACATTCACAAACTAGAAGATAATCACCGAAGGAGCGTGAATGAAGAACAAGATATATTCAAAACTACAAACCCAAATGGAGAACGTGTGAGTGCTCATGTAGCGGATAGATTCATACCCTCAGTGGATTGGGCACAAAGGGAGACCTGTAACACACTCTCAGCAGTGGGTTACCTACTTCTTCTGGTCAAAAAAGCTGATCCCAAGCATCGTCGGGCACAGCAATTGAAATTCAGGACAAGCCTGGTCTCACATGACAGCGTCCACCTCCTCAATACACCAGAGGTTGAAGCACAACCTCCAGAGCTAAAAGTACGAGGTGCTGAAGGTTGATTTTGAGACTCAAGAGGCTCTTGCAGGGGTTGTAACACACTCATATCCTCTGTGGATCAGCAGAGAGGAGGACACTTAACGAGACAGTGACCCAAGTGTTATGTTCATGCCAAAATTAAGTAAGTCTGGGCCAGGCAATTGGGGAAAGGAATTTGGATATATGTGAGATGAGCTTGTACCATGTGTCTTATTGCTCATTGCTCTGGGAAAACCCATTAGATCAGTTTCCGGCTTGGAGGAAACCGTTCCATGCTTCTCTTTACACCATAGAGTTCAAGTTCTTGATGGGGGACTAGGATTTCTGCAGTCCCACTTGAGGAAAGTAAAGGAGAAATCCCAAAGACTGTTGAAGTCATGCGATGTTAACGGAGTACACACCATCCTCCCAGGTCTTTGTATGGATCACTGGGCGAACTGAGCTCCATCTGCCTACTTGGCAACATGACTTCAGTGAAGCCACACACACACACACACACACACACACTCCTGCCCTCAGATGGCTCAGGACCAATTTCTGATGGTGAGTTTCCCACTTGGAGGTTTGGATGTTATTCCTCTAAAATACATTTCAGGTAAAAATATTACAAATGCGAGTACCTGAGCAGATGACACTGGCATCCTCATGGTGAGCACAGTTATGTGTGCCCCAACCCTGGTGCGAGCACTGCCACAGAGAGGATTCGTTCCCTCTGCACTGCACGTCATCCAAGAGAACACTTCCAGAGCCTTCACCAAACCGGGCATTCCTGGGGGCCTCAATGGCCTGGCCACACCCAAGCTGTCTGCACACAACCTCTGCATCAGACATGTCCCAGTCATCATCACAGACTGTTCCCCATCTTCCATTGTAACGGACTTCAACGCGACCGGAACACCCGTTCTGTCCATTCACCAGTCTCACTAATGGTCCTTGGAAAAACAGAGGGAAATTAATTTTCACCCAGCTCTTGAAATTTGGGGTTCTTTTCTAGTTATGAAGTTGGCTCCTGTGGTTTTAGGAAAGTTACAAAGCGGATATTTTCCTTTTCCTAAAATTGTATATTATTTGCACATAAGTATTATAGTTTTGGCAAGAACATTTACCTCTGCGGGTTTCTGCCATTTCACGGCAATTCGGGTGTGTATGCTGGAGAGAGGAGCCCAGTAACTGCACTGAGAAATTATGGGCGCCTCTTTAACTCAGCAGGGAGAACATAAGAAGAAGACCATTATTGAAAGGACAGCTGAGAAAAGACTTACCACTTGGAGGGGGCCCGTTTGTTGGAGGTGGTGGAGCTGGCAATGCAAAAAGATAAGGACAGTCTTAAAAATGATTCAAGATGATTAAAAGCCATCTTTATTAGGTGGACATTTGAATACTTTTTATGACGTACAATTGCAAGAATGAAAGACAAGAGACATTCACAAACTAGAAGATAATCACCGAAGGAGCGTGAATGAAGAACAAGATATATTCAAAACTACAAACCCAAATGGAGAACGTGTGAGTGCTCATGTAGCGGATAGATTCATACCCTCAGTGGATTGGGCACAAAGGGAGACCTGTAACACACTCTCAGCAGTGGGTTACCTACTTCTTCTGGTCAAAAAAGCTGATCCCAAGCATCGTCGGGCACAGCAATTGAAATTCAGGACAAGCCTGGTCTCACATGACAGCGTCCACCTCCTCAATACACCAGAGGTTGAAGCACAACCTCCAGAGCTAAAAGTACGAGGTGCTGAAGGTTGATTTTGAGACTCAAGAGGCTCTTGCAGGGGTTGTAACACACTCATATCCTCTGTGGATCAGCAGAGAGGAGGACACTTAACGAGACAGTGACCCAAGTGTTATGTTCATGCCAAAATTAAGTAAGTCTGGGCCAGGCAATTGGGGAAAGGAATTTGGATATATGTGAGATGAGCTTGTACCATGTGTCTTATTGCTCATTGCTCTGGGAAAACCCATTAGATCAGTTTCCGGCTTGGAGGAAACCGTTCCATGCTTCTCTTTACACCATAGAGTTCAAGTTCTTGATGGGGGACTAGGATTTCTGCAGTCCCACTTGAGGAAAGTAAAGGAGAAATCCCAAAGACTGTTGAAGTCATGCGATGTTAACGGAGTACACACCATCCTCCCAGGTCTTTGTATGGATCACTGGGCAACTGAGCTCCATCTGCCTACTTGGCAACATGACTTCAGTGAAGCCACAAACACACACACACACACACACACTCCTGCCCTCAGATGGCTCAGGACCAATTTCTGATGGTGAGTTTTCCACTTGGAGATTTGGATGTTATTCCTCTAAAATACATTTCAGGTAAAAATATTACAAATGCGAGTACCTGAGCAGATGACACTGGCATCCTCATGGTGAGCACAGTTATGTGTGCCCCAACCCTGGTGCGAGCACTGCCACAGAGAGGATTCGTTCCCTCTGCACTGCACGTCATCCAAGAGAACACTTCCAGAGCCTTCACCAAACCGGGCATTCCTGGGGGCCTCAATGGCCTGGCCACACCCAAGCTGTCTGCACACAACCTCTGCATCAGACATGTCCCAGGCATCATCACAGACTGTTCCCCATCTTCCATTGTAATGGACTTCAACACGACCGGAACACCCGTTCTGTCCATTCACCAGTCTCATTTTTCACCCATAGGCTAGTATGTCAGCTATAGTGAATTATATCTCGTAGTGGCATTTTGAAGTAATAAATGATGAAGAAACTGAAAAGATGGGGTAAAAGCTTCTGAAACAGTATAATGGATGAAGAAAGAAAGGATGCTACTGATAACTAAGATCAAAGACTGTCTGGTGCTCTACCGCCTCTTGAGGTCCTCATTGCAGAATTTGCCCAGGATCTTAACTGAGTGTTGCCTCTCTGATCCAAGTTTAATGGTTCTTTCAACTTGGGCTAGTATGCATGGCTGGAGGTATGCGCTAGAGACTGGTTCTGCTTTCAGTTGGGTTGGTAACCTGCTTCCTTGGCAGTGAGGACACAGGCTAAATCATTTGAGTGCTGATAATCCTCCAATGCCTTTTCCTGTGCCCAGAAGGGCAGACAAGTTCTCTTACAATTCACTGGGAAAGAACGATAGAGTGGCTCAGCTTACTGCGGCACAAAGGACTATGGGTCATGTCCCCAGAAATCCTAGTGACATACATGGTGGAGTGCAGAACCATACAGACTCACACGGCTGCTACTCTGAAAACAGTAACTCGGGTATGGCTTTACAGCCTGGCTGCTCACACTTGGGCTACGCTAACCCACGTGCTCAGACCCTGGTGCTGATCATCCCAGGCTAACTTCAATGAGGACATACCCTTCGGGTCCTATCACCTTTATCTCCTAAAGTACTGAGTTACAGCACTTGCATTGTACACTGCTACAACCTCCATGCCTGAGGGGGTTTTAACTCCGAGATTCTATTGTACTGTTTATAAAAGCTACATTGCTTATCAGAGACTCAGTCCTGCAAGCCTTTGCTCATTTGAGTAGTCTCAATGATATTGAAGTCTTGAGTTTGCAGGATTTTAGGTCCCACATGAATTTTTCACAATTTTCCCACTCCGAGATCACTTGAAATACGAATAGAGGCTTTAAAGACCTAATCTGATTAAATCACATCAGATCCTAGTGAAGTCAGGTCAAGTCACAATGGGAATCCATTGAATAAAAACAAAGATTATTAGATTTCTGCTGTGCTTGGATTTGACCACCTCCTTGTAGTCCATTTTAATCCTCTTTGATGATGAACACAGCTAAGGGCGGCTTCTCTCTTGTTTTAGACATAATTAAATGTAACCATCTTTTTCATCCTAAACTAAGTACATTCATCTATTTCTTCTTCTAATTGATAGACAAGCCCTTATCAGTAACATCCATGCTTGTTCTTTGAGATCAGAATCTCTTATTCAAGCTAACAAGATTACCTGAAGTTTTGGATGTAAAGTTTGAAGAAACAAAGGCTCAGTATTTTTAACCTATATGCTGCTGTTTTGTCTCCTCATCTCTGACACTCTGCTCCTTGTCATCTCTATATACATTTTAGAACCTCAAATCTACTGGGCGACCTAACTGATGTTCCTGAAATGCGGCACTCCCCCGCAATGGTTGTAATACAGAAAAAAAAATCACCAACATTACTGCTTTCCATTTCCAATTTAGAATATGCTCTCTGGGAAATTGACCTCAGTCATGGCACCAAGAGATAAACTGAAATAGAAGTTTCATTGTACTAAGCCATTTAGCAATTTTCAGTAATATTTTTACTTCTATTAGGTTCAGTTGCCATCAGTTCCCAAGTCACGTCTATCTACGCCTGTAATAAAATCCAGCCTTTAATATTTTTATACAAGAATGAGAAAAACATCTGATAAATTTTAGACATAATACCTGGGTCATGCAAGATAGTGGCACTTATTAGCAGCATCCAGGTGAAAATCATTTGAGGTCCCATTTTTCACAGAGTTTTCTGCTTACCTAAACAGATGTAGTCTCAGAATTTATATGAATTCTAGTCTATATAGGAGAGGGCGTGCCATGTAATTTGATCTTGCTTCTTGCACTTCCAAGTCAATGCCAAGGAAGTTTTCCCAGGAGGTTATTTTCATTTCACAATGTAACAATGTACATCTATAGATCTAGATATCCACAGATGGCTATCGCTCCAGAGAAGACATTGGACTGATTCCAAACAGCCACCAAATACCTTTGTGGTCACTCTGATGTGATTGTTCCAGGAAGTGGTGGCTTTCAGATGTAATGACACCAAGTAAGGATGGCATAACATCAACTAATAAGCTTTCCAAATGCCAAAGTGTCACACTGGAGGAAGCGAGTCTATTATTGCAGGAATTACATCAAAAGATTGTGGAAAGGTCTCCGTTAACAAATTCCCACCTTTTCTCAGAACACTCCAGTGAAACAAAATACTCCGCTGCTCATTGGTACCTGAATTTTCTCCAAGTGGCTTTGGCTCCTGTTTAGCCTGGAGCGAATATCTCTGTTTATTCATGAACATTGTCCTGCCTTTCAATTAATTGTTTTTGATCTGAGGCCTGGTGTAGTAATGCAACAGTTTCTCATAAATGATGATGGCCCACACAGGAGGAAGTGGCTGTTCCCTGATCCTGTGGCACTGGAGCTGTTTCTATGCCATGTCCAGGGTAGATCAGAGCAGTTTTGGGGCTCTTCCAATCTATGCTTATTTGTCATAATCTTCAACCTGCCATGTGTGTCATCATTTATTGCTGGAAAACAGCAGTGGAGATCCTGTTGCTTTCTGCTCCCTTTTAACCCTGGAACTATTAAAAGGAATTAAGAAAAGGAGTACTTGTGGCACCTTAGAGACTAACAGATTTATTTGAGCATAAGCTTTCGTGAGCTACAGCTCACTGCATCCGATGCATTCCACCTTTCCATTTTCCTATAGTTCTATTTCTACAGAGCAGAAATGGACCAGAATCTAGAGATCCCCTATTGGCAAGTACAAAAAGCCAAGCGCATACCAATGGATTACAAGGCTGGGGGGCATCATTTGTTATGGGGCCAAGGGGCTGTTGCCAACCCTGACTTTGGTTTGTGCCCCCTGTCTTTTCATAGGTCTATATGCTCCATTATGTCTTCCACTACCCTGCTAACTTTGGTTGTGGTCATTCGGAAAGCAACACCCATTCTACCCACCGTCCAAATTTTTCTGAAATGACCCCACTGGTCAGACCCTCAGCTGGTATAAGTCAATGTAACTCTACTGACTTCAATGAAGTGACACTGGTTTACAGTGGCTAAGACTCCAGCCCTCTGAGTCGAACTGCTATGGGATGATGCCTGCCGGTGGTGTCTTCTAGGAGATGGTTCCAGCGATGATGTTAAAGACCACCCTTTTATATTTCTTATTCAGCGTGTACATTTCTGGAAGTAGCATTTAGAGTCCTGCAATGGGTGGTGCCAGATGAGCTGCTGCAGCATCTTCAAGTCCCACTGATTTCAATGGGGGAACCTGAGGACTATCGGCACCTTGCAGGGGGCACTCAAGACTTCACACAGTCAGGCTCTTGGAGAGCAAGTACTTTCCATAACAGTTGTAAAGGAAAAGGATTAGGGAAAGATCAATCAATCTTTATTTTCTGGCAGATAATATTTTTAAGGAGCTAGTTTATTGCCAAAAATGTATCTACAGTTTAATGTAATAATAAGCTAAAAGTTTCGAAAGGTTAAGTTTCAGTTTAACAGATAAGTTTTGATTTCCTGCAGGGGAAAACCGCAGAGAAAGACATTTCTACTGATCTTCGCAGCATTGGCATGTAACAACTTCCTTGTCTCCTATAATAACTCAGACCTCTTAGACAAATACACCAAACACTTATGAAACAAAGAAAGCTTGTTTGAAGTTTGACATAGGGAGGGCACTGATCAAGTGCTTTGGTTAACACATACAACGATGCACACTAAAAAACTTTCCACTGCATGGTCCAAGTTTTTTATTCATTTAAAAAGAAAACAATTTTTTTTTGGCTATGATCTTGCAATTGGACAGATTGCTGAGCCTGATCATGTGGATCAGGTTACTAGATTAGGGCCTTAGAGCCCAGATCTATCATGCTTAATCATGTTGACTAGTACTTTACCATACAAGGAACTGCAAGCAGAGCAAATCTGTGTCCAAAAATGCACAGGAAATGTACAGTTTTTTATTTGTATTTCTTTCAGTTTTCCAAACAGCAAAATGTACACATTAGGCCAGACAGGAACTACAATTTGGTAATAAGCAATCAATATAGTATAGAAAAAAATCAGATATGTGACAGATCAATTCAGTAAACAGCATAGGAACCACTCAGAAAACCTAAAAAGCATTTAAGAATTGTGCTTAAACCATGTTAGAATGAGACATACATTCTGCATTTATTCAACTTGGAAAATCAAATGTTGCCCATTTATGCTGAAAAATGATGAATTAAAGGCTAAAATGAAAACAAATGAAGTAAAAAAATCTAAACCTGTACAAAAAAATGAGCATGATTTATTTAGTATTTTATCCTATGCAATGATTTCCAAACTGAAATTAATTTGCAATAGCCACAGTTCTACAATTAAGCCAAAAATTTCGAACATAGGTACCTGCAATGAGGAACATATATTCATAGTAGGCACTAGGCACGTAAGTGGAAATCAGTGGGAGCTTCCATATGCTCTGCACCTTTGAAAGTCAAGTCACTTATTTTGACATCAAGCCGTAAGGCAAACTGTGACCATCAGGAGGATGCCAGTGTTACCTGTTCTGGAATTTAATAAGTCAAAGTTATACAAGAACCACCCTCTGTGATAACAATCCACACAAAGGGTCTATCTCCTCTACACTGCAAATCATCCAGGAAAACTCAGCCTGAGCCCTGGCCAAAATGGGCACTTTGAGGTGCCAAAATGGCCTTTCCACAACTTAGCTGTCTGCACATCTCCTGTGCTTCTCTCCTGTCCCAGCCATCATCACATACTGTTCCCCAGCATCTGCTGTAATAAATTTCAACACAGCCTGCACACCTGTTCTCTCCATTCACCAGCCTCAAGAACGTATCTTCAACACACTGGAAAAAATGAATGCCAGTAAGCAGAGAGACATGTTTTCTATTAGCAGTTGCAGAAT